ACTGTCCGTGGTCTTAGGCATCTGGTGTGGCTTGTATCCCACATGGCTAAGGGGGAACATTGCACTTAGATTTACCCCATGTTCATTTATTTGATCACCATCTCCCTGTCTTCTTTTCTAGGATTGTATTTCTTTTGCAATATCATTTAAATTTTCCTTTAATGAAGATTGGCAGTAAACTATGCTTCTGTTTATTGAAAATATCTCTATTTTGCTCTCAGTCCTATGAAATAGTGTTAACAGGTGCACACTTCTAAAGTAGGGGCCTCCTTGGTGGCCTCAGGGTTTACTCCCAGCACTATCACCACTGTGGCCTGAGTTTTCTCCCCCATCCAGGGAGATGGCCCACATGGCCCACCAGACCTTTCCAGTCCCTCACACTGCTCCCCTCAGCAGTGGATTTCAGTAAATCCTGTTCTGCTCCCCACCCTGTCTCTGGTGAATCTTCTTACCACCTCATACCTAGTTTGTATATAAATGTATATACATTTATATACATTAGTGTATATATATATACACATAATTCTAAAATACTTTTTTTTTAGCACTTACATTTATTAGCCTACTGTATTTTAGCTTTCCTTGTATGTTAGTAAGTCTGTAAGCAGTCTAATCACTGTGCCTATAAGTAAGCTGATTGATGTTATGGGTAAAATTGTTTTCCGCAAAAAGACATGTTGAAGTCCTAACTCTCAGTACCTCAGAATGTGGCCTTGTTTTGAGATAGGGTGATTGCAGACATAATCAATAAGGTCATATTTGAGGAGGGTGAATTCTGAGTCCAATAGGACTGGTGTCCTTATTAGAAGAGGACACAGAGGAAAAGTCATATGATGAGGGGGGAAGAGACTGAAGTGCTGTAGCTGCAAGCCAAAGAATGACAAGAATTGCTGGCAAACGGTGGGAAACCAGGAAGAGACAGAGAAGGATTCTCCTCTATAGGAACATGGCCATGTTGATAATCTGATTTGGGTCTCTAGCCTCCAGAACTGTTGGACAAAAAATGTATGCTATTTTAAGCCACCTAGCTTATGACACTATTTCAGGTCGTAAGAAAGTCATACAACTGATGTTAAAGCATGTTATTCATTCTTTATGTCCTCAGTTTCACTAGTATGTATTTAGGTTGAATTTCTTTTTATCTTGCTTCATATTCTTAGTGATTTCTGGCCTGTGGATCTGTGTCTTTTATTGACTAGGAAGACCTCATTCACTGTATGAACATAGACTCATCTGCATTCTCTCTGTTCTTCTTCTGGGACTCAATAAATTTAAGTTAGGTAACAAACTTAAATCTGGTAACTTCTAGCCTGTCATATTTCATCTCTTTCTGTGCTGCATTTTAGGTAGTTTCTTCAGCTCCATCTTATACTGCACTTGCTCCTTAGAAGCATCTAATACTTCTGTTTTTAAATTTTGGTAATTTTTAAAAAGAGTTTGTGGCAGAGATTGATCTCAACAGCCTTTTTCTCCTTTAGTAATTGCACTTCCGTTTTAACTGGGTAAATGACTATCCAGAATAAAGGCTATATCCAATTTAATTTACCCTTGAACAAAAATGACCATCTACTAAGCTTTTATCAAGAGGATATTCACAGAAGTGGTATGAACAATTTAATGGAAGTTTTCTTAAAGGTAAGGATATCATTTCCCCTCCCCCTTTTCCTCCTTCCCTCTGCTCTGGGAAGAGTGTCCTTCCTCACAACACTATCATGGCTCTTTTCACATGACTTGCTTCGGTTAATGAAATGGGGGTACATTCCCCAGGACATGTGACACATCTGAGCAGAAGTCTGAAATGTTTTTGTGGCTTAGCTCAGATGCTGGCCTCCAGTACAGCCCAGGTGATTACTGTGCCTTTACTCTGGGCTTGTGAATGGGAGATGCCTGTGAGAGTGACATGATTTGTCTTGCATCTAGAGCACAACCACAGTGGCTGACTGTATTTGGTGCCATCTGTAGGACTGCTTTGGCAAAATGTCTATTTAGTTTCTCTGTCCATTTTTTAATGGTGGTTTATTTTTTGTTGTTGAGTTGTATGGGTTCTTTATATATTTTTGGCTATTAAGCCCTTATTAGATATATCATTTACATATGAATTAGGTCTTTTTTTCTAATTCTATGAAGTTTCTGTTTCCTCTATGGTCACATTTTCTGTTAATTTCTCCCCCTCCCACCCTCATGATGGAGACCTCTCTTATACATGCTAGTAATTCTTGGTGGCCTACTGGTGATTAAGATGAGCCAGTTAGAAAGTTGATCAGGAATCGTTTGAACTGGAGACTCTGGCTAACTTGTTTAGCTTTAGCATGAGTGGGTAGGAAACCTGCTTTGTGCCAAAATGAAGAATGCTTTCCTCTTACTCATTAAAAATCTTAGCTTTCCGGCCCTCCCTGGTGGCGCAGCGGGTTAAAGCACAGCACTGAGAATCTGAAGCCACTTCCTCATGAGTTCGATTCCCACCTGCAGCCTGCCCCGGAGGAGACCACATGGCGAGCCAGACCTCTCCTGGCCCGCCCGCTGCTTCCCTCAGCAGTGTACTTCGTAGATCTGCCTGTTCTGCTCCCCACTCTGTCTCTGGTGAAGCCTCTCACCGCTCCTGAGCCTCTGGCCTGTACCCCAGGTCTGTATGCACAAATAAATAAATAAATCTTTAAAAAAAAAAATCTTAGCTTTCCAAGGTCTCCCCAGAGATTGGGAACTCTTGATTTTTAGTGTGCAATAAATGCCTAGCTAATGTACTTGATATATAGCAATTGTTTTGCTGTTCCATATAGAGATCTATATTTAGTTTACAGATTTTCTTCTGTGCTTCTCACTTTTGAGGTGTTGTCTCTCTAAATTTCAATCTCTTTAAATCAGGTAGGTACAGAATAAGGTGAGCACCTCATGCACCTTATTCCACATTGTAACTCACTTTCTGAGTGTAAAATTAAAAAAAAAATCTTTTGGTAGTCTCCTTTCCATTTTCCCCCCAATTCCTTTATTAACATTTTCTTGTGGATTTACAAACAAGAGGCAAAGAAATGCATGTGTTCAGTTACCCAGCTTTAATTAAAAAAAAAAAATCCTAAATGCAGGTTTTAGAAATGGTATCTGGGTAGAGAAAATAGGAAAAAACAAGCCAGTACAATGCCGAATGAAAAAAATCAGTATCTGTTATGTTAGTATTCCTGTGCTTGTATAATTTAGTACTTTGTGTATTCTCTCCCCAGACCTTTTTGGGACATGATGAAACTCAAACCTCTCGTTCATATTCTATTTCGTGTTCAGAAAAAGGGACCTCAAAATAACCTGGTTTATTCAAGGTCACACAAATAGTGGCGGAATGCAGGTTACAAAAATGTAACTTCCAGTGTACTTGTTCTTCACCTCATTGCTGGGGGCTACCGGGATGAGCCTATCAGCAGTTAGACAGGAAAGAGCTTGAGCAACAGTCAAGGAAGAATGACTTTTTGTGGGTAAATACCAAAATGTCCAAAAAATCGAACTATTTTCCGGTGCTTGCTTAGCAGCAACCTAGTCCTCGCAGCAGTTTAACAATTGGTAGCCATATGTTGAGTGTACTGAAGGGGGCGTGTGTTCAGCAGGACCGGGGACTGCAGAGATCCAAAGACTGTGATGTGGGAGGGAACAATTACAGAGCTGGGGCAGGATGATAATTTCACATTTCACAGAATTTGGTGAATGAATATGAATACTGAGCAGAGACAGTAACATGTCAGTCAAATTAGGGAATGCAAAACGGTTAATGGTGGCGGGAGGAGGGGTACAATGACTCCATTCCTCGTTCAAGGCATTTAACATTATTTTCAGGGACACTAAAAAGCTGGGAATAAATACCATGCCCACCCCCTTCCTTTCTTGGTTTAGGCCTGGCTTACCTACACTCTTAAGTTGCTGGGTGCAGTTACCCTCTTTGCACAAAAGAAAAGTCGACTGCGATTTAGTGCTAGAAAACTGGGTTGCCCTGCAACGAGGCACCCGTGGCCGGGGAGACTCGCCTCGCAGGAGTGAGGACTAAGGAAGAGTTAACGCAGCACAGTATCTGGCAAGTCGCAGGGACTGAATGTGAACATTAATTTCCGCCCACGCTGTCCTCTCCTGGCAAAATCGCCACAGAGCAACGACCTGCACTGGCACGGGTCTCCGACGCCGGCTGTCCCCACAAGGTCGTGTGGACAGCCCGTCCGTCGCGTCAGATCCTAAGACCACCTTCCGCGGCCACACTCGGTAAACGCCAAGGGTCGGGGGGCGAGTCCAGTTTCCCAGGGACAAAGGGTGCCCACTGCGGCCGCGCGAGCAGCGGAGGCACCGACAGGGCTGGAGCGGCTCCCGTCGGCGCCGGCGTCGCCGTCGCCGTCACGGGCTCCGCGAAGGAGGGGTGGGATAGGTTCGGGGGAGCCAGGGTCGGCTCCGGGGGCTCGCAGGCCGTCCACTTCCTACGGCGAGCCGGAGGAGACAAACGCCGCCTTCCCTCGCTCCCACCTACCGCCGCTGCCCAGAGCCGGCCGACTCTCCCCGCCCGTGGCCGCGTGTGCGTGCGCGCGTGTGTGCGCGTGTGTGCGGACGAGGGCCCGCCCGCGCCCGTTACTCCGCTGGGGCGCGAACCTACGGCCGGCGCCCGAGTCATTCCCGCCTCCGTCGTCCCTAACTCGGCTTCCCCAGAAAGGCGCCGAGGCCTGGGACCGCCGCGCCGCGCCGCGCCGCGCCGCCAGAGAGCCTTTCTTGTTCCTTCTGCC